GAAGGTGAAGCTACAGCCTCCCTCAGGCACGGAGCTGCCGGCGTTCAACCCCATTGTCCACCCCAGTGCCATCACACAAGTCCTGCTGCTCGCTAACCCACAGAAGGTGACGGCACCGTCCCTGGGGCAGGAGCAGGCTGGTCTTGCTGCCTGGGCAAAGCCTGGTTACCCCGTCCCTATTCCCTCTGCTCTCTGCAGCTTCCTAGAGACCTGAATGGTTTGTGCCTCATGACTTTCTTCCCCCGCTTCTGACTGCTTATCCTTTCTCCCCTGTTTCCAGGAGAAAGTGAGGCTACGGTACAAGCTGACCTTCACCATGGGAGAGCAAACCTACAATGAAATGGGGGATGTGGACCAGTTCCCCCCACCGGAGTCCTGGGGAAACCTCTAGGGCCGCATGTTGCAGGCACTAGACTGCAGAGTCCTTGGGAAGCCAGCCCTGCGGGGCTGGAGCAGCCTGAGGAGATGGGGAGGGCGGGTGGGGGGCTGCTGCTCACGCTCTATTCTCCAGATGGCCGGGCAAGGGCCAGAGGGAGCATGCCTCGAGGAGGAGAGCAGAGACGCCAGGAGATGTTCATCCCACAAGACTAGGAGTGGAGTGGAAAGCTTCATGTGGGTGAACAGTTGCCTTCCCTGCTCTTCTGAAGGCGTCACTCCCTCCCCAGTCTGTCCAGCTTCTCTTCTAACCCTGCTTTCCCCCTAGGTGCAGTGGGGAACAAGGATGGGGAGCTTTAACAGCCTCAGCCTGGGGCAAGGCTTAGCAAAGGAAGATCCTTTTCCTTGTCTGTCCCCTTCATGCTTCCCAGCCCTTCAGCTGCTTCGTGCTCTGCAGTGCTGCCTCTTGTCCCCCTCACCCCTTTCTCGGAGCTGAGCCCCAGTGGTTCCCTGTCTGGTGGGATTGCGTTGGAGCTGGTGTGGAACAAGGCTGGACAGAGACTGGGTGTCTTTCCAGCACCAGAGAGCAGGCAGCTGTCCTTGCTTTGGGGGGCATCAGGGGAGAGATCTTCCCATGTCCCCCTCCTTCCAGCTGCCAGCAGAGCT